GCATTGGCGGCAGCCATTAAATAATTCACACACACACACGCGAGGTGCTACCATCAGTCACACTCGGAATACCAGCATGCAAGAAGCATATCAGTGTCATTGTCCTCAGCATCATCGCCATCAGTCTCATTCGTGTGGGGAGGGGGGGGGGGCTGGTGTGCGAGTTTGCGCCAGAGTTCCAAAAGAACGTTGACGAATACGAGGATGATGACGCGGACGAGCACCAAGCCATCCCTGTGACTGTTTTTTCGGATGGAGGCCTGGCTTGGCTGCTGTGGGGTGGGGGAGGGGCCAGGAGACAGGGCAGGGCGGGCATACCATGAAGGGGGTGGGGAGGGGGTGGGGGGGGGGGGTGGGGCACTGACGCAGCGAAGATGGACCACATCTAAGCTATTTTTATACACATATACATGCCAAGCTTAGTTCCAGGCCGATAAACGGAAAGCACCAGGTGCAGCCAGGGATGGGCGTCCAAACGATGCAATAAGGATAGAGATCCTCCAGGCTTCAGTTATTTTGGTTTAGGGTTTAGGGCTTAGGGGTTTAGGGTTTGGCATTTGGGGTTCAGGGTTTTGGGGCTTACGGTCTGGGGTTTAGGGTGTCGGGTTTAGGGTTTACGGGTGTAGGGTTTAGGGTTTGGGGAACCCCGATACCTACATCATCCCTAAACCCTAACCCTAAACCCTAAACCCTAACCCTAAACCCTAAACCCTAAACCCTAAACCCTAAACCCTCCTAAACCCTAAGCCCTGAGTCCGAAACCCTTAAAGGTACGGGCACAAGACTTGGAGGTTCATGGGTAGTTAGAAGTGGGGTCATAAGTCCCTTCATGCGGTTTAGAACGATAGCTACCCTACTTGTACTCTCTTCTTCAATAACCGGGCCAAAAAAAGTTCAAACTTTCTCTAATAGACCCACCATATCATGCCCCCAAGAAATTGAAATTCTCCAATTGGCTAAACTACCCCCGAACCTCCAAAGAGATCCCGAGGTTCAGGAAGTTAATTGGCTATCGAAGCCCAACTACCGCTGAGAGATCCTGAGGTTTAGGGTTTAGGGTTTAGGGTTTAGGTTTAGGGTTTAGGGTTTAGGGTTTAGGTTTAGGCCCTAAGCCCTAAGCCCTAACCCTAAACCCTAAACCGTTTACGCGACTTCGGGTCGAGTTCGGAGGCTCTTTTGGGGATCCTGAGGGTTTAGGGCTTAGGATCTTGGGGATAAGGGTCTAGGGCTTAGGGTCTTGAGGTTAAGGGTTTAGGGCTTAGGATCTTGGGGCTAAGGGTCTAGGGTTAAGGATCTTGGGGATGAGGGCTTAGGGCTTAGGGTCTTGAGGTTAAGGATCTAGGGCTTAGGATCTTGGGGATAAGGGTTTAGGGCGTAGGATCTTGAGGTTAAGGGTCTAGGGTTTAGGATCTTGGGGATAAGGGTTTAGGGCTTAGGATCTTGGGGTCAGGGGTTTAGGGCTTAGGATTTTGGGGCAAAGGGTTAGGGTTTGTTTAGGGTTTAGGGCTTAAGTTTATAGGGGTTTAGGGTTAGGGATCTTGGCTTTGAGCACTTACACTCGGACATGCCTGGGTGAGGGTTCCTGGTACACGTCAGCGAGCTCATTGGCTCTCGACAGCCAATTACCTATCGCCCCATTTCCCAGGGGGTTTAGGGTTTAGGATCAACCGTTGGACAGTTAGTGTGCACCACCCCAACCACTTTGGAATCGCTTTTGAGACCCGAAGTTACGTTGCACACACTGTTTCAAGCCTTAAGTCACTTTCAAATCGTTGTTTGGGGTCCAAGATCACCTGGAAATCGCTTTTTCGAGCTGCAGTGCACTTTCCAAATCACTCCTGAGTAGCCCGGATCACTCTTCGAGTATCCAAATCACTTCTGCGAATTTCCCAAATCACTTCTTCAAATTCACTTTGAAACCGCTTACTTGCCGAAAAACTAATATCTGCACACCATCCCAACAGTTGCCTGGCCGTAACGTCTCAAGTTTAGCCCTCACAGACAGAAAGGGTACTTTACATCGTATTCTTCGGGTCCGACCAAATCTAAGCCCGACGCCCAATCCCTAAATATGTTCTTAGACACCAAACCCAAAGCCCAGCAACACATCGCAAGATTTCCGCAGTCTCCTGCGCCACGTCGACACAGCCGGAGCCGCGCAGTTGCACCGCATCGAGGCCAGCTGGCCAACATCAGAGTTGAGGGCTTGGGGTTTAGCGGTTTAGGTCTTAGGGGTTTAGGCATCAAGTCTTGCTGCTAGTGGTACCAGCACTGCTATGGTCTGTATTGCTTACATGAGCACATATGACCGCCAATATGCCTCAGTATGCTGACTCACCGGTGCTTTCAGGTTGCATTGCTAGAAACTTTGAAGATCGCATGCTACTTGCATGACAAATGACCCCAGATTCCTAACACCCTTACTAGTGCGTTTATATCGCTCACAGGATTCTTGGACATTTCTGCCATTCAGATAAGGGCTGCAACTCCCATTCACCACAAGAAACGGTGTTGGGTTTGGGGCTTTGCTTCAGGGAGGAGCGGTTCAGGGCTCACGGAAGCCTTCACCGACCACGAGTGA